CCCCCCCACACCCACCCACATGTAAATAAAGTACACAGCCCCCTCTCCTGCTTACCTTGTTGCAGGGAGGAGGCTGTGAGCCACGATCATCGATCCCTGGTGATCAGTAAGCTCTGCAGACCTTACTAATCTAATCCTTTCGGCTGCGTTTAGCGAAGACGCCGGCCAAAAGGATCAGAGTGCCGGCACAGAAGCAGCTATGCGGTCTGCATCCGACAAAGATGCAGACCGTGTAGCTGCTCCCGCAAGTCTGGTACGCGGTCCGTGACCACGTACCAAACTTGTGAGCTGGCTGCGGGCTACATAGTACCGGCAACTGGCCTGCGGACCGGTACTTTGAGACCAGTGCGCTAGATAGATGAAGAACAAATGTAACATCAAAGGGATCATCAGACCAGCCAATCAGAAAGCTCTGATGACCGGCAGTAAACTGTATAAATGTGGATTTGTTGGACATTACATCTTGTCTTCACCTCACGGACATTGGGGGGCCTGGTTTAGATCCCCTTCTTGGTTTAGTTCCCCTTTAAGAAATTAAAGTATTATGTTGCAACAATGTATCACAATGAGAACTTCTTCCCCACGACCCAGACACTGACCAGATGTTTGATTTACCTTTTCAGCAGCTGGTACAAGCTCTCTGCCGTCATCCTCCGGGTATTCATGGGGTCCATCTCATTAAAATTCCTTTCCAGAGATTCGTAATTATTCTTTACGAGATTTTTGATGATTCCGGTAAGCTGAAAAACGGTAAGTTTGCTGTTGTGAACTCTTCCATCTGTAACATTTTACTATTTGTAGAATGAAGACTCTCGCCCACTGCTACACAGCAAGGAGGATAATCCAAGGGAGATCATGAGGTCACCAGCACCCCAAGGTCCATTTCATCGATCCGTCGTTACATTTGCTTGTGACGCCATGTTTATCTAATCGTCAATAAAAGACGGATCGATGAAGTGGACCTTGGTGTGCTGGTGACCTCATTATCTCCTCCAGTCTTACGGTGCCAACCGTTTGCCATTTCAGCACCCATTAGAATACGTCGGTTTGCAGTGCGATGGGATACCTCTGAATGCGAGAAAGGAAATTCCATTCCTCCGGTGACTGGACACGGGGGGGTCCACTACTCACCCCACCTGCTTATTATTACATGTCCAATGTATAGGGGGGCTGGTAGTTTTAGAGGTTCACTATGGAGGACTCTGGCGGCTTCCCTCCCCTAAGGTGACATACATGTCATTGGACAGCTCAGATCACATTCACAAAGTAGAAAGCCAATGCGAGTGGCTCTGTATCTTGTCATGACCGTGAACCAATCACAGCCATCACAAGTGTAAACCCTGCCAGTGTAAACAAACATTCACAATGGAGAAAGGGAACCCTGAATGTCGGCAAACACGGGTAGAAAAGAGGATCATGGATCAAAGGTAAAAGGGGGAGGGGTAGAGGGGGAAAGAGAGAGAGGGGGAAAGAGAGAGAGGGGGAAAGAGAGAGAGGAGAGAGAGAGGGGGAAAGAGAGGAGGGAGGGGAGAGAGAGAGAGCAGAGAATGAGAGAGGAGAGATGAGAGCGAGAAAGAGAATTCTGTATGAGATACAATAGCTCACCGCTCTTCTCTTTCATTTACCTGCTCCGCACTCCTCCCTTGCCGTTTCTCCTTCTTGGCGCTGTTCCCGACTTTACTGATTGCTTTTGGTTTTTGGCTGCAGTCAGTCAGAATTGTTTTGTTTCCTCCCCATAGGCTCAGATTCTCATCCCTGCAATTAGAGAAACGTGTTCAATCGGCACAAGTGACTTTGTTTCTGTATGTTCTATATGGATGTGAATGTGTGCATGTATTTACTCATTACATATAAAGTACTCTCTGCTTTTATATGACGGACGGAAGTCACCCCCCACACAATACAGAGCACACAGAGCCATTCGCAGTGTCCAGAAGGAGCTTACATTTTAATATGCGGAACACTTGCACACAAAGGAGTGTTTCTAAAAATAAATTGTGAAACTGCATGTACATTCACTCTGTTCAAATGGAGACAAAAAATAATGTTTTTAGCATATTTTCTTCACAGGTCGAATGTAAAATCAGGAAAATACTGCAATATGGCCACTAGATGGAGCTGAAGATCGTAGGAAACAGATACTCACCCCCCTATGCTCCATCTAGTGGCCATAATGTGGTATTCTCCTGATTTTACATTTGACCTGTAAAGAAAATATGCTAATAACGTTTGCTTTTGGCTAAATTCGCACAGAATGTACATTGCGGGACGAATGATTCACTCACCTGTAGCAAAGCATGCTGCCAGGGATAGTCTAAGGTGTCTATTTATTATCATTTTGCATATCCATTCACCCTACAAATTTTTTATAATGTTTATTCTGGGCAAATAGAAGCAAAAATGGCTGTTCTCAGATATATTTTCTTTTTTGGTTGAATGAATGTAACGTAATACTGCATTTTGCCCACTAGAAGGAGTTGAGGAGAATAGAAATAAGCATTTATAATCAATTCGCAGATTAATTCCCCAGTAATTCTGAACGTTCGATGTGCGGATAGATGCAAAAATAAATGTTCTTATATTTTCTTTTCGAATGTATGATTACCGCATTATGGCCACTAGATGGAGCCGAGGAGCATATACAATAAGTATATATTTCCTATTGCTCCTCAGCTCCATCTAGTGGCCATAATACAATATTACATGACGTACACTGAAAAGAGAACAATTGTTTTAGCCATTATTCGCACAAAATGAACTTTCACAGATCTTTGCAGGACCTGTGGCCCTGCAAATATTTTATAAATAGACCCCTAAGAGTCTGAACGTTCGTCCTCTGTACTTATGTTGGGTCAGTTATTTGGTGAGTAGTGAAGCCAGGATGAAGATGACCACCCTGAAGTCATCTCTCATATTTCTGTCCCTTAGGTTCCATGTAGACAGCCTATCGGTATTACAGGACTGTCATACTTAAAATTGACCAGCAGAGGGCAGAGTCTCCGCATTCTCCTCACACATCCTATACACATCACTGTAACAATGGTTACTTTGTATCACTCTCCATAAATATATAAATACTGTAGATAAAATGCTCTTCATCTGCCAATCAAAATCCTCGTCTGCTGACAGAGATCTCATATCTCTCAGAGCCGGTTTTCCCTTTCATTCTTTACCCGCTATCGAACTTGGCCATGAAGTCCCGGTATCTGATGGCTCCTTGATGATCGGCTGGAATTCTCTCCAGCAGGTGGGCAAATTCTTCATCTGTCACCTTTATACAGAACCTGGGGCGAGAGACGGAGAATTAGGTCTTCTGGATCTGAGCTGTGATTAGATAAAGTGAACCGGTCATACAGGTAACACTTAAAGTGGACCTCCAGGCAAAAGTGTTTTTTTTGGTTTAGGATAAAGCTGGGAAGGGTTAGAAACTTCGCTCAGGGTTAGTTGCCTGTGCTGGTTAGTCGCCCATGCTGATGCAGATCCCACCTTCTATGGGATGCCTCATTATGAGGACACCCCTGGCTGTCTGTCTCCATAATTGGGGAGATTTCCCATCATTTTTTGTTTAAGTGATAATTGTCATCTCCTTGCTTGCTGTAACTGGGGCCAGAAGTGAGGTTGAGTCTACCCAGAGGGGACACAGAGCCCTTCCCTGATCTGTCCATCAGCGCTGCTCTCTCATCATTGAGGACCACCCCAGAGCTGGGTCTGTTTAAGTTCTAAGTCATGACCTGGAGCTCACACTGTTCTTCTCCTCTCCCTCACAGGTGAATAGAACGGCGATGGAATGAAAGGACAGGAAGGGAAGGGAAGGGTAGAGATGTGAAGGGAGGTGTAAGCCACTGGTGGGACCAGCAATAAATTGAATCTGTTGCTTTGCCCTGCCTGGGTTCACTTTAGGGCAGAGGTGGGCAACTCCAGCCCTCCAGCTGGAGTTGCCCACCTGACAGCCTGACAGCCACAGACTCTGACAGCCACAGGCATGATTTCCAGTGGCAGATACATAATGGGGTTTGCCGTTTCACCACAGCTGAAGGGCGGGAGTTGCCCACAGGGCCGGATTTCCCACAAGGCCAACCGAGGCCCGGCCTCGGGGCAGCAGGGAGTAGAGGGGGAGCAGGGGTGTGGAATTCCTATCTCCCAACGCCCGGGACATGAAGTTGTTTTGTACATTTAGCCCGGCTTTGGGCAAGCAGAGCTAAATATACAGCGGGGAAGCCGCCGCTTGTTCTGTCACCGAGATCACTTGTATGCAGCCTGCATACAGGGGGGCGTATTGAGGAACATGGCATTGGGGCAGCAGAGAGAGTAAATCCGGCACTGGTTGCTCACCCTTGCTTTAAGGGGTGATTTGTGTTACATATAGTATAAAAGTATAACAATTAAAAGATGGTTCAGCAAGTAAAAACATCAAACATATCTTCCAGGTCTGAATCTGGTTGGTCTATGCGGTTATTCTCATAGTCAAGGCTGCCTTTGCCATTAGGCTCAGTAGGCTTCTGCCTATAGGTAATATTGGGCCTAGATGTAGCTTATCTCAGTATAGATATTGGGAACACATTTTTCCCATCATCGCCAGGAGCTCTGAATATACCAATATATGACAGGTTCTCTTCATTATAAGTAAATACATTTCACCATATACATTACCTCCTCTCCAGGATCCCTCTGAAGTCTTGCTGGCTGATTACATTCACTTTGTTGGTATCGGCCTTCCTGGGAGGAAGCAGAACACACGTGATTGGGTCAACTGTATCAACCTGACCCAGTCAAATAAACACCCGCAAAAGGATTCAGCCCATATAGGGAACATTATTCACTTAGTTCATTTTTTAAATAGGTTGGCAAAAGACACAAAAAGACCACAGAGTTCAGCTGATAGGTCAGGTCTACGTCTGGTCTTTAACTAACCAATCAGGAGCAAAGGAAATTCTGGTGTTACTACAACTGATAATTCAGCAATGGTTTCCAGAATATAACAAGTAAAAAGTGACTTCTGCATTGTTTCCACCGGATCTAAAACACAGTGATCTTGCCTCAATGGTGGGGGACTTTGGACCAACATTGCCCCCGTAATCCTTCCCGGAATGAAAACCCAAAGAAGAACTCTTACAGTCCCAAATGATACAAGGCTCCGGAATGGGCGCATCACATGACCGTGGATTCAGGTAACGATAGACACCTTGGGAATGAGTGCATCACATGGCCATGGGTTCAGGTAACGATAGACACCTTGGGAATGAGTGCATCACATGGCCATGGGTTCAGGTAACGATAGACACCTTGGGAATGAGTGCATCACATGGCCATGGGTTCAGGTAACGATAGACACCTTGGGAATGAGTACATCACATGACCGTGGATTCAGGTAACACTAGACACCTTGGGAATGGGCGCATCACATGGCCATGGATTCAGGTAACACTAGACACCTTGGGAATGAGTGCATCACATGACCGTGGATTCAGGTAACCATAGACACCTTGGAAATGGGCTCATCACATGACCGTGGATTCAGGTAACCATAGACACCTTGGAAATGGGCTCATCACATGACCATGGATTCAGGTATTGATAGACACCTTGGGAATGAGTACATCACATGGCCATGGATTTAGGTAACAATAGACACTTTGGGAATGAGTACATCACATCAAATTTTCAATACTGATCTCTGTATAGAGATACAATTTGGAAATCCAGACAACTGTGACTTTTGGATTGTATGAATCTCTGCAGACTGGACAGGTATCAGGGGAATAAAAAAAGCGGAGCAATTTGCCTGATTTCTAGCTGATTCGCCCCAATGAGATGATTTAGGGTCACTCATTCATAGATGGAAATGTCAGGAGGGGCTGATATGGACACGCTGCCATCTTCCACCAGATACATGGAGCCGTCTTTTGACTGTATTTAAAGGAGAACTATGAGGTGGGTGCTTTTCACTCACCTCATAGTTCTAGCCGACCTGTGACAATGAGACTGTCACAGGTCGGCTCAGTAGATCGGGAGGTGAGCGAACACATACCGGCGTTCGCTCACCTCTCGATCCTGTCACGGCTCTCTGCACTCTGCACTCTCAGACTGACTGTCAAAGGAACAGACGGGGAGGGGGCGGGTACAGCTGGCTCTGCCTCTAGATAGGCAGAGCCAGCTGTCACTCACGCAGCTGGGCGGATCCAGACATAATTGTCGGGATCCGCCTCAGCTGCAGCATCTCAGTATACCGCGAGCTACAGCTCCCTATATACTGAGCCTAGGGTGACGGGAGAACGCTAGTTTGTGTCCTCCCGTTACCCTAAGGAGAACTATGGGGAAAAGCCTTAATCCCCTAGTTCTCCTTTAATATTCAGCATTCAGAGAACGTTTTACACACTCACCTGAACTCCTCGAGGAGGGCGCTAAACTCGGCATGGAGATAATTCAAGAGCTTTCCCTCTAAGGTGCCCGTAGTGGACGCCGAGCTCACAGACCTCCTGTCCGCTGCCCTGCGCAAATCAGAAAAGCTTTATCAGTTTAAAATCCATTTGCTGAAACATTTCATTATTTCACCAGAAGAAAAGGTCGAGAGCTGCTTAGGAAAAATGAAATCTTTAACTTTGTTATCATTGCACAAAATCCACTTTTAAGGGAACCTCTACTCAAAGCTACTGTGATGGAAGCTGGAGGGTTGCATTCCCTGAAAGTCTCCTCTAACCTTGAGGGGCTCTATTGGTGAGATCTCTGCGCTGAGTTCCCGGGTCTGTACACCTGCTGTGCCCATTATGAGGGGCCCCCACCATCCCTGTGCTGAGTTCCCGGGTCTGTACACCCGCTGTGCCCATTATGAGGGGCCCCCACCATCCCTGTGCTGAGTTCCCGGGTCTGTACACCCGCTGTGCCCATTATGAGGAGCCCCCACCATCCCTGTGCTGAGTTCCCGGGTCTGCTCTGTACACCCGCTGTGCCCATTATGAGGAGCTCCCACCATCCCTGTGCTCAGTTCCTGGGTCTGTACACCCGCTGTGCCCATTATGAGGGGCCCCCACCATCCCTGTGCTGAATTCCTGGGTCTGTACACGCGCTGTGCCCATTATGAGGGGCTCCCACCATCCCTGTGCTCAGTTCCCGGGTCTGTACACCTGCTGTGCCCATTATGAGGAGCTCCCACCATCCCTGTGCTCAGTTCCCGGGTCTGTACACCTGCTGTGCCCATTATGAGGGGCTCCCACCATCCCTGTGCTGAGTTCCAGAGTCTGTACACGCGCTGTGCCCATTATGAGGAGCTCCCACCATCCCCGGTGGATATGTATTTATTTTAAATTATAGGAGGAGCTCTAACACCCAAAACTCTCCCCTGGACAAGAACAGAGGCAAGAATTATTGCACAGAGGTCTCACTATTGGAGTGCCAGAGACGTATAAGAAGCCTGGGACTAACTCCATCAACCAGATTTTAGCTTAAATACCTTGTGGGTGGACTGACTCTTTATTGGTAAAAGGTCATTCTACTTTTGCTGTAAAATTGATACAACCTCTCTATATGATGCACAAGCTCCGCTCCGCATATACTAACAAGTCTCGGTTCGTACCGTTTGAACCACTGGAAAATTTCTACTGAACGTGACTCCACCTGTTTTCCTGTTTGCTAAGGATCTTGTGGGCTCTTCCGCTCTTCCTCCTTGTCTGTATACGCTGTAGAAAGTCCACATAGTCCACATCTGAGGAATTCTCATCCAAACCACAACGAGCAAGAAAATGACCCAACTGGTCCCCAGTGAGGTGGAGCTGAAATCTCTCCAAAACCTGAAGGAAGTCGTCTCTTGAGACCTGGCGGGAAATCAGATTATTCCAGATGGAAAACGGTCACTCCTCATTCCAACACCAACAGACGTCGTCAACTCAAAGCCAAAGGATAAAGGAACGCCACAGAGGTTTTTATGACTTTTAGATACTTGTTGGTGATTAGACATGTGCGATTCGTTTCGTTACGAATCGAAAAATACGTACGAATTTCCTGAAATTCGTAAATTCGGAAGCATCCGAAATCCGAATTGCAGTTTCCGAATGATATCCGAAATACGAAATTCTGTTAACGAATTTCGGATCCGAATTTCGTTGAAACGGGAACTAACATTACCCCTGTAAATGAGGTTGAACAACATGACAAGATTTTTTTTTTATCCGAAATACGAAATTCGGATCCGCTGCTGCTGAGGGTTGCATTACAATACACAGGCAGGCAATACGAAATTCCGTTAACGTATTTTCGTTCCGTTACGAACATTCGTTATGATGAAGTTAAAAAGCAAAAATACCTTTGTTAATATATTGGAGTTGATGGTAGTTTTTTTTTTTATCCGAAATACGAAATTCGGATCTGAAATCCGTTAACGGAATTTCGTATTTCAAGTTAAAAAAAAACTACCACATCAACTCCAATATTAACAAAGGTATTTTTGCTTTTTAACTTCATCATAACGAATGTTCGTAAAGTTACGAAAATGTGACGAAACTAACGAAAATTCGTATTTCGTACGAATCCGAATTGAGTTTCGGACACGAATTAGGAAATACGAAATAACGGATATTCCGAAACAAAGTGAATTTTCTGACGGCGCACAAGTCTATTGGTGATATCATGCACTGTGTACTCCCAGTTGGAAAGCTTCAGAAGGTGGTCCCTGATGAAGAAGAACCTTCTACAAAGTGTATTGGAGATGGAGGGAGTATGACAGCGATATCAGGCAGGAGGGGTCATGGACCCATCATTTGACCATGCAGTGCTGACCATCTAATGTGAGATGTCCCCCAATATGCTTGTAACACTTTGTCTTCTACTAGTATAACATTTGCTATTAAACAATAAGCTTTTTATTTTAATGGAAAAGGAGAAGCAGTTTCCTTTGTCTATTGGATTGTGTTGCCGGACTACCAAAGAGCATTAGATTGAAGATGGGGCAGGAGGTGAGAAGAAGGCTCAGATCAAGAAAAAAATGTGTACAGTGGACGTGCATAAGAGTCTATCAGTTACAGGACTGTTCGAATGTAGATACTAAAGAAGTCCTACACGGAGGTTAGGAAGACTTTACAGTTCTTATAATGACAAAGAGGTTCTGTTACTTTAATTTATCAGAAAGTGTGTGTGGGGGGAGGGGGTAAGATTCAGACGTTGTATTCCGTTTATAGCGCTCATCGATTTGTTTGATGTGGGGCATTTCAGAGATCAAATAAATATTCTCTCCACTCCCTCGGAGACCCTGTAGAAGACTGTGGCACTTAGTAGAAGATCTGGGACACTTAGTTGAAGAATTGGGGCACTTGTTAGAAGACCTGAGAATAACATTTGTGGCACTCAGTAAAAAGATCTGGGGCACTTGGCAAACACCTGGAACATTTACTAGAGGAAATGGGCCATTTGGTAGAAGACCCGCGGCACTCAATAAAAGACCTTGGGCTTTTGGTAAAATATTTGGGTTACTCATCAGAAGACCTGGGGCACTCATTAGGAAACCCGGGACACTTGGTAAAAGGCCTCATCGGGAGACCCTCAGTAGTGGGACCAGGGTTAGGCCAGGTGCCCGCTATCAACCTCTCTGCTCCCAATCTTGGCATGCCTGTTCTAGCAAGGACATGTGATGTCAATAGTATGATTCAAAGGTCGCCCATTCAGCTTGGGTTGGAGGAGGGTATCAACAAATGGTTGGCTTTGAGACACAATAAGTATTAATTCTACTAAGTAGTGGAGTCGTTTTCCACCAGTCATCAATTAAATCAAACTCTCAGGGTATCCATGAGTCTGATTGGTGGCTGAGTAGAGTAATTCCATTTCTAGTAAGACCAAGTAGACACAGCTGGACCATCTTGTTTTGAACATATTTCTGAAATGTGGCAACAACAACGTCAAGGAACACAATTTAAAATAATTTTGATACCAATGTCCTTTATATATCTAAATGACTTGGATGACAGATCCAAGAGGAGACACCAACTCACCTTGTGGGTCCTCTCTGGATCACACACCAGGAATTCGGCCATCATGGCTCGAGCCCCCTCTCTGAATCTCTCCTTCAACCACTTCTCAATACTGAGGGACAACTTCCTCTCATTTCTTGTCCGTGATCCGACTCGTGTGCTCATTTCTGGCAAAACAGAATGCGTTGTGAGTGACAGTGACTATGTTCTGGAGTTGCCCGCCCCCTCTAATACACAATTTCAGATGTGCCCTGAAACCTATTGATTGTGTGGATATACTTCTAGTTCTTGTTACATCAGACTGAAAGAGTTTAGCAATCATGACAGCACAGTCCAATGAGCACCAGAGTCTGACCACACTGCCCAGTGCACTGCATCATGTAACAGACCTGGTCAGACATGCTCCTTCTCTGGTCAGACATGCCCCTTCTCTGGTCAGACACACCCCTTCTCTGGTCTGGCACGCCCCTTCTCTGGTCTGGCACACCCCCTTAGTTCCTCAGCACTACAAGCCTGGTTTGGATGCTTGTGATGAGCAGTGTGTCCTTAAAGGAGAACTATGGGGTAAGTGTTTTTCCCCATAGTTCTCCTAAGGGTCACGGGAGGACATATACTAGCGTCCTCCCGTGACCCAAAGCTCAGTATATCGCGGGCTACAGCTCGCGGTATACTGAGACCGCCGCAGCAGGGACGGATCCCGACGTTACTGTGGAGATCCACCCAGCTGCGTGAGTGACAGCTGGCTCTGCCTATCTAGAGGCAGAGCCAGCTGTAGCCGCCCGCTCCCCCGTCCGTTTCGCCAGTCAGCGCTGGAGGATCGGAGCGGGGAGGGGGGGGATGAGATGAGCGAGAATTGAGTGAGTGACGGTATGTGTTCGCTCACTTCCCGATCTATCGAGCCAACGTGCGACAGTTTCATTGTCACACGTCAGCTCGAACTATGAAGTTCAGAAGATCACTCGCCTCATAGTTCTCCTTTAACTTATCTATGCCACCATAATTCACACCTGCAACCATGTGACTCTGACAATTAACACATGTACAAGCCATTCGATTGGAATATGTAATTAGAACAGGGGGATTTCACAAACATTCACAGCTCCCGTCATTCTTGAATAATCAGTATCTGCCCTAACACATTCCATGGTGATTGGATAAAGGTCATAGGGCTATAAATGCTGGGGTATGTTCCTGGCACTCATTAGAGGTGAGGAAGACATTTGGATGGGTAGCAAAACGTTGTCACACATTACAAAACAAGTCCAGCTGAATGGGACCAACTACTACCGTGTGTGCCATGACCTGGCTACATGAGAACCTTCTTCACAGATACTGTATATATTCTAAATATATTTTTCCCCCCGTACTTTGGTCTTCTCGGCTTCTAGACACTTTCTGGAGTCCAGAGAGCAGCAAGCTACGGTCTTCATACAACTCCTGAGCAGCCTTTGCTCCTAGATGACACCGCAGGTCTTCAATCTTTAGGATCCCGTTGTCTTCTCTGATGTATCTTCAAAGAAAAATGTTATTGTCAGTGACCATAATTCTGGTCTTAAAGTATCTCTAGCCAAATATGTGACATTTTGGATTTTTTAAACATAAGCAAACATTTTAGTGGGGTTGGGGTGGTCTGCACAAAAAAAAGGTGCAGTTGGGCTTTAAAAGGAGACATAGACAACAATAAAAAAGTTAAACCTTTCAGGAGTTCTAACACATACATGCCAGCTGTCCCAGATTTGGCGAGAACAGTCCTGCACCTTGGAACTCTCTCCCACCGATGCCGTGTCCCGGGCCAAGTACCAGGATCGAAGCATCAACCTAATTTGCACATGCACAGTACCATAAAAAGGCATTCATTGCAGGAAACAAAGCCATAAGTGGATTGTCCCCACATATTCAGAGGTGGAGTCTGGGTGGGATCAACCCATAAAGTAGGCGTGATGGGTTGACATCTATTTACAGGTGGGGTTTTGGTGGGACCAATCCATAAAGTGGGTGTGATGGGCAGTCCATGCATATTTAGAGGCAGGGTCTGGGTGGGATCAACCCATAACTTAGGCATGATGGAAGGGCCACATATATTTAGAGGGGGTATCTGGGCTAGACCAACCCATAAAGCGTGCGGGATGGGTTGTCCACGCATATTTAGAGATGGGGTATAGGTGGGATCAACCCATAAAGTGGGCGTGATGGGGGTTCACACCTATTTACAGGTGGGGTTTTGGTGGGACCGATCCATAAAGTGGGTGTGATGGGCAGTCCATGCATATTTAGAGGCAGGGACCGGGTGGGATCAACCCATAACTTAGGCATGATGGAAGCTCCACATATATTTAGAGGGAGGATCTGGGTTGGACCAAGCCATAAGGTGTGCGGGATGGGTTGTCCACGCATATTTAGAGATGGGGTATAGGTGGGATCAACCCATAAAGTAGGCGTGATGGGGGCCCACACCTATTCAGAGGTGATGGTTTTGGTGGGACCGATCCATAAAGTGGGTGTGAAGGGCAATCCATGCATATTTAGAGGCAGGGTCTGGGTGGGATCAACTCAACCCATACCTTTGGCATGATAAACTGTCCACACATATTTAGAGGGGGGGATCTGGGCTAGACCAACCCATAAAGTGGGCAGGATGGGTTGTCCACACATACTTTGGTGGAGTATAGGTGGGACCAACCCATAAAGTGGGTGTGATGAGTGGTCTACATATATTTAGAGGTGGGGTCTGGGCAGGACCAACATGTAAAGTAGGTGTGATCTCTGTGCGCCAACTCGCAAAGTGTATGGACAAAATGCGTACTGTGGGTGGGGTTAACAGTGCCCCAGGATCCAGGACCCTAATGTTGGAATGCTAACTCTTTTCTACTACACTGTAATTACTAGGGATGCACCGATACCGATACAAGTATCGGTGCCGATACAAGTATCGGTACCGATACCGAGTATTTGGGTGAGTACTCGTACTCGCCCAAATGCTCCGATGCCTAGCACGAGTACTTCCTGTATCAGGAAGCCGGGAAGCTCGTCATTACACGCTGCCCGGTTTCCTTATTGGCCGGGAAACTGCTCCATGCTCTCTCGTCACTTGTGATGAGAGAGCATGGAGCCGACTTCCCGGGCAAATCAGGAAGCCGGGTAGCGTGTAATGACGCGCTGCCCGGCTTCCTGATTGGTCAGAAAGCTAGCCAATCCAGAAGCCGGGTGCCGTGTAATGACGCAGCGCCCGGCATTCTGATTGGCCGGGAAGCCGGCGTCATGCTCCCTCGTCATCTCATGAATCATAATATTAAGAAACTGACCTAAAATCATCAGTTTGTATTGCTTTAGAAAAAATGTGACCTGGTCCTTTAAGAAAAAGTATCGGTAATTGGTATCGGCGAGTACTTGATCAAAAGTATCGGTACTCGTACTCGGTCTTAAAAAAGTGGTATCGGTGCATCCCTAGTAATTACTACCAACATCCAACAAATGTGAATACTGGTACCCAGCCGGGAACGTGGGTGCGGGGTTGTCTTACCGGTGCCACAATCTCTTGAACTCTTCCTCAGTCATCCTTACACCCAGCTTGGATAGCGCGCTGTGGAATTCAGACGAGGTCAGGGAATCCTTCGGAAAAAGCTTCAAAAGTTCAAAATATCTGCAAAGGGTTTGAGACACAGAATGACCGGATGAAGTTTACATAGCACTGCAGTCCCGGAACAGGGAAATCTACATCATAAAATACCATTGGACATCATCTTATGGGAAGATTGGTGACAGGGTCTCTTTAAGGACAGTAAGCTTGCGAAGGAGCAATAACGAGCAATCAGACCTTGGAAATCACTCGCTCTTATCTGGTGGTAATTAAGATTCTAGTCGTCTGTCCGCAGAGCCGCCGCTGACAATAATGAGCTCTGTGTGCCGGGTGCCAAAATAGTGCCAGCACCCGCTCTCAGAAGAGTTTAATAATCCACTCCAGCCTATCGATAGCAGCTGTGCCAGAGAGATGCGAGAGGAGATGAAGAGACACTCCGGGGAACGTTGCTGCTTCTTTTACTTGTGGAATAAAACGATTTTATATTAAAGGCTCCGCCCACCATTTCCAATACGCAGTGAATGCAGCAACACTTGATGACCCATGGGCATTCACTACGTTTTGAATTAAAGCCTGCAGAGCATCGCATCGCCCTGCTAGTGACATTATCCTATGGGGCTAGATGAAGTGGGCGGGGCTACAATTGTGGTGACATCACCGCCCTGATAGTGACAATATCCTATGGGGCTGGAGGAAGTGGGCGGGGCTACAATTGTGGTGACATCACCGCCCTGCTAGTGACATTATCTTATGGGGCTGGAGGAAGTGGGCGGGGCTACAATTGTGGTGACATCACCGCCCTGCTAGTGACATTCTCTTACAGGGTTGGAGGAAGTGGGCGGGGCTACAATTGTGGTGACATCACCGCCCTGCTAGTGACATTCTCTTATGGGACTGTAGGAAGCGCGGCCGGGCTACAATTGTGGTGACATCACCGCCCTGCAAGTGGCATTCTCTTATGGGGCTGGAGGAAGTGGGCGGGGCTACAATTGTGGTGACATTCTCTTATGGGGCTGGAGGAAGTGGGCTGGGCTACAATTGTGGTGACATCACCGCCCTGCTAGTGACATTATCCTATGGGGCTAGATGAAGTGGGCGGGGCTACAATTGTGGTGACATCACCGCCCTGATAGTGACAATATCCTATGGGGCTGGAGGAAGTGGGCGGGGCTACAATTGTGGTGACATCACCGCCCTGCTAGTGACATTATCTTATGGGGCTGGAGGAAGTGGGCGGGGCTACAATTGTGGTGACATCACCGCCCTGCTAGTGACATT